AAAAAAACTTAAATGAGTGAGAATTTCCACTAATCGTAGACTTTCCAAATTATCGAAGAACAGTCTGCCTAAGAGTATAAGTCTTCGTCTGAAATGTACAGGACACAAGACACAAAAGGTGTGGCGTACATAGTTTTCTTCTCTTCCTCGTCTTTGCAGCTCCTACAGGTTTGGTGAGATATAACGCTCAGGCGTTGCGAGTGCCTACCTATCTGTAATCACAAATGTAACAATGCAAATGTTGTGCTTGCTTAGGGTTAACAGATTGCTTGCGCGCATGGAACTAAAAGTTGGCCCAAATAACCTGGTAGTATGGACTCAATGGCCGTTTGGTTCGACAACACATTAGGGTACCTCACCGAAAAACAGTGCCGGGGTTTCCATCGGAACTATAAAGTTTATTAAAGTCTAAGACTTCCGCTAAAAAAATTTCGGAAAAATAATAAGATTCACGTGAGCTGGACCGAATCGAAAATAACTAAAAAATCTCACTATTTTGATTATGTAACTACAATTTCTAAACATTTTCATGCAGGGCTTTTAATCTCAAACTCTGCTTTCATTTGCGGTGCTTCTTGGAGAAAAATATTTTTAAAAACTTATTTTGGTTATTAAAAAAATCGAGTTTTGGAGGTATTTTCAAATTGGTGCAGCTCGCTTAAATTTTAATATTTTTTTCGCAATATTCCGGTGGAAGTCTTAAAATGTAATAAATTGTATAATTTCGATACTCCTTAAAACAATACCGGTTTTTTTTTTGTGAGAGTCATGCACCCTAATGTATGTACATATGTATGGCTTCCAACGCTTAATTAAAGTTAAGCTCAAAAAGCACAAGTTTCCTTGTGTTTGGTTACCATCGATCCTCCGTTCACCTGATTATTGCAAAAGACCACAACAATAAAAAAAAATAAAAAAAATAAAAAATACTCAATTTACATTTTGTGCTCGATGTAATTTTGCTTGCTGTGACGATTTCCCTCCCCCATTGATTCGTATTACATATTGGGGTGTATGCATGTATGTATGTACGTGTGTAAATGTAGGTATACATATGTGTAAATAATAGATAGATGCTTTGCATAATTCATCGGTTTACTCTCTTCACTCGCATTGTTTAGGAATACTCATGTATGTATGTATGTATGTATGTATGTATGTCTCTCTGTCGTTGCTATTTCATTCATTTGCGTACTGTTTATTTCATTGTATTTAGGATAATTAATATTTTTTGGTTATTGTTATGACTTACGATTTCTGCTTTATTGTTTTGTTTCTTTTTTTTTTTTTTAACTTTCTCTTTGTTCTTTGATATTTCGAGAATCGCTCATCACTGCGCCTCACTCGGCTATGCTCCTCCTGCTTGGTTTTATATGCATATTGTATGTAGGTATGTATATAGTTTTCTTTTGCATTCTTTTTTCTCTGATATACTATATGTATGTATGTATGTATGTATGTCCTCCATGCATACATACATATGTATGTATATGGTCTATGGCTTGCTCGATTTTCTAGGTCTATGGTTATGTTTGTATTCTAAGAACAAGTAGCTGCGTGCTAAGCACACATTTCTTTTGTTTGTTTGTTTGTTTGTAATTAAGAAAACAAGAAGAGATAGACTTGCGATTTTTTTGTTTTGATTACAGTTGTTATGTTTTTATTGTAGTAAGTTTTCAATAATTCCATAATGCTATATAGTTTATAGTTCCTTGTGAAAAATAGTAGTCGAATGAAGTGGCCATATGTATGTATGTGTGTGTGTGTGTGTGTGTGTATGCATGTAGGTAGATGTCAATGTGTATATGTATGTGTGTGGGTGTGTGTTATGCTTATATGGAAATAAGATGGGATATATTTTTTATGGTTGCTAGGAAATTTGGTTGTTTGGTTGTATGGCGGTTCTGTTGGTGCTGCTGATGGATTTGTCTTAGAACTATTTTTTTTTTTATTATGGATACTTTATACGTATGTATGGGTGTAGTAGTGTTTTATGCTGGCTTCATANTTTTTTTATTATGGATACTTTATACGTATGTATGGGTGTAGTAGTGTTTTTATGCTGGCTTCATACATTTTCTGAAATAATTCTGTGTTGGCTTGCTTTTGCATTGTGTACAAAACTAATGTAAAAGCGCCTAAAAGGACACAAGTTGTGAGACGTTAAACGTACAAGTGTACCTATGTACATATGTATGTATGTATGTATAGTGTTTATATTTACGTAAATATGTAAATACATACATAAGTTTGCATCAGAAATGTGTTTGTAAACAACATTTAATAAAAAAAAAATTCACAAAAACAAAACGATTATTATTAACTTTTACACATTTCTCCGTTGCTTATATTTCAGTATTTAAAATATTTACAATTACCCTTAGACTACTTATTTTCAATGAAATTGAATTGTTTTACATATTTTTTTTTTGTTTTGCTGCTGCGACTTTGGTGCGCATACAAAAATTTTTTGTTATGTTTGTTTCTTTTTTTGCTTTTCATACATACATATTTATACATATTTTTTATATAAAATTTTATTTGCTATTTATATAATTTTATTTTACTTCTTCTGCTTCTTCGCACAAATTCAAATATTCGTTTCTCAATTTATGTGTATATATATATATATATTATATAGTATGTACATAATATGTATGAATATGTGGTTCATGTGTGTGTGTGTGTGTATGTATAAGTATTCATTCAGTATAAAACATATATTTTTATAAATCATTTATTTACTAAACTATCAATATTAGTGAATTTAATTCGTAAGTGTGTTAGTAAAGCACTTAAGTTCAAACTAAGTATTTTTCATTACAAAAAAAAAAAACGTAGAAATCAAGTTCGCGTAAAAAATGTATAAAATTTGCTGATATCCAACGCTACGAAAAGTGGCCTGAATTCTGCCGTTGCCAATTAATACTTAAATAACTAATTTATGCGGGCAGTACTATGTATAAAAATGTGTGCCATTTATAAGAGATTTAAACCTACTATAATGAACCGCCTAAAAGTGTATAAAAAAAAAGAAATACCGCGCGTAATGCAAAAAAAAAAAAAGTTTTGAACTTCTCATGTGCAGCCGCTTTGGGCGACGCAATGATTAAAAAGGTGGTAAATCAAAAATAAAAAAAGTCCATTAAAAATTATAATTAAAAAAAAAATTTATGTAAATAATAAAATTTGGTATCGAATATTAAAAACAGACTTTCTCCTCAGAAAAAAAATTTTTTTTTTTGATTTCTTGATTTTTCTAAGCTACAACAAAGTAGGTAAAAATCATAAGTAATTAACTTTTTTTTAAATTTTTCGCTCACCATTATAAAAAGTCATACAAATGTTTACACTAAGGGTTGTGAAATAATTTTTGGTTTTCTAAAATTTTACTTCTCTCGAAATGCCAATGTTCAGTCTTCTTCAAACGAAAAGCAAAAAATTATTTCCCAATATTTTTTTCCTCCATATTCTAGATCTAATTTATCAAAAATTTTGATTATAAATTTTTTATGTGTGACACGCACACATATGTACATATGTATATATGTATATTCACACGCCATTTAAAATGCCAATTAAACGTGCATCACAATTTTTCAGTAATAATTCCACAAAACCGATAGAGTAGTTAATATTATAAAAAAAATTAAAAAAAAAAAATTGCATATATTCTCATTGAATTTTTTCCATTTTAAATTGCCTAAAACCTATCAGTCCTTGCTTTCATTGCAATGAAACTCAATTTTCAGTATGAAAAAAAAAAATCCTTGTTAAGCTCGAGGGCCAGCAAATTAAATAAAATTCTGTACTTTTTGTTTTATTAATTTTTAATTGATAGTCGAATTAATAAAACTAAAACTGCAGTTTTTTTTTTAAATTTACTTCGTTCTGAGCTTAATAAAGAAAAAAACTTCATAAAAAAATTAAAATTAATTTAAGCTCAAAAATCTGTAATTATTCAATACATATTTAAAATATCGACGCCAAACTAATAGTTTTCACTAAAGCTTGAGTGCCTAACTAAAAAATTTTTAGTTTTACTTCCGAAAGTTGAATTTTGAATTTTTTTCATTAATAATTTTGGTGTCAAGCAAAATTTTCTAGTTTCATTTAATATGTATTTCATGTAAAAAAGCGCCCGCAATTTCGAATGGTTACAATTGTTTTTGAAAAATATTTTGGAATATGCAATATTTTTTTTTTTTCATTTCGCAGCCGCATTTGAAAATAATTTTTATTTTTTTTTTTATGTAAACTGTTAATAGGGAGCTAGTAAATAGTTTATTCATATGCTTACATATATCCAAAGTGTAATATCTATGTACATGTTTGCGTATGTATATATTGTATGTATGTACATATTTTTTTTTACATGTGTGTGTAAAACGAACTGCACCTTTTGTTTGCTTCCCTTCCCTTTCTTTGCGCTTAGCCTAATTTTAGTTTAAAACTTTGAAAATCCTATGCTTCCGTTATTAAATCTTGGATTAGTTTGTATACATATCTACAAATGTATGTGTGTATGTATGTATGTATGCTTATTTGCTGCATAAATATGTAACTAAATATTTGTATGAATGTATTAAGAACTAGTAGGTAAACGCTTACATACATTGGCTATATATGTATATGTAGGTAAGGATTGATTCTGGTATGTTTTTGTGTATATGTACATACATATTTATACATATGATTTTTACATTGTTTTTGTAAAACATTAAAGATAAAAAACAAAACATTTCTGCTTACAAGTAGTTATACATTCACAGATGCAATTGTTATTGTTGTTGTTGTTGTTGTTGTTGTTGTAACATGTTCAATATTCATAAATATGTATCAAATTGAAAATACACAAATAGTCCACTAAAATGGTGAGCATGCGTATGCATATGCTAGTATGTTATGTGTGTCACATTAGGGTGGCTACTCTGCAGGGCATACCACCATTGTGCGCTCGTATCGGAGGCGTTAACACGTAACGGTAGAATTTTTTTAAATTTTTTTTTTTGCATTTTTGCATATTTTTTTTTTTTTTAATTTATTCTTCTTATAAATGAGAAAACATAATACTAAAACTAATCTTGTATTGTCAACAAATAAAAATTGCACATCTCATTATTATCAATCTACCTATGCATTAGTTAGAGTGTGTAGGTGTGTGTGTGTATGTATTTAAGTGTATGTTGTTAGTTATTTTTTATTTCGATTTATTGTTGTAAAATAGTTTACTGCAGCATCCTTTTCTACACCTATGTATGCATGTTTGTATGTATGTGTAAATGTTTTCTCCTGCCAAAGTAAAAGTGTAAAAAGAAAAACAAAAAATCTAATTCACCTAACAGTCTTCAATTTTATTCAAATTCTACCCCGGCTCACTTATTTCACGCGCAAAACTTATTTTTTTATGTGTTATTTATTTTTTTTTTTAATTTATTATCCCAAACCACACACAAATAAATTTCGTCTAGGCCTTTGTGCCTCACCTTAAGATTTCTTCTTGTTGGTCAGTTCGTTTGCGCATACTGTGGGAGAGTATGAGCGAACCATCAAATAAGTAGTAGATCAGTCCTTCTAAATACCCGCTCGTGTGTGTGTGTGTGTGTGTGTGATTGCATGTAAGACTGTGTAAATTAGGCTAAGATTTCCCATAGTATGTGTGCACAATGTTGGCCCCACCAAAAAGTACACTTCCATGCATACATACTTGTGCATTTTTAAAAAAGTCAGTGATGTTGTACATCGAAAAGTAATGTTTTGTTCGTAAAACTCAAAAAATAGATGTAAAAAATCACAGTTTTGCATTCTTGCTTTTTTTTTTTCAATTTAACAGTTTTTTGTTTCTCGCTTTTCTTTTTAATTTGCCATTCGTACGCTGGCTTATATTTTCTCAGTTTGTTTCTCTCTCTTTTAGCTCGTTTAACTGTGGGAGGGTCGGTCGGTCTCTCGCTTTGTGTCGAACTAAGTATTTTTTTCCGCTGCTAAGAGTCTCAGCTCAAATTTTCACTTTTTGGTCACATTTATTTATTTATTTATTTTTTTGTTTTTTCTTGGTCACTTGATCGGTACGATCGGTTTTTGTCGGTTTGTTGCTTTAGTTTGCTGGTGGCTTTTACCACATTCGATACTGCGCTGCTCAGTGCTCCAGTAAATTCATGCGCTCATAGTGTTCGCCACCACTGCCTGCTCCCCCACCACCGCCACTCGCACTGCCGTAGTGTTCCATTTGTGTGAGATCTACGGTCGGCGGCAGTTGATGTCCGTACGGTATGTCAACCATTGTGGGGACGGGCATGGCTCCTTGTCCCATCGCAGACAGCGGGCTCATGCTGGCCGAAAGAGCGGGCGGCGGGGGCGGCTGTGGCGTGTTCAGAGCAACATGGAAGAGCTGCTGCAGCAGGTGATGTTGATCTTATAAGAAATCCATGCAGGGCTTCACCATATTGGGTGAAGACTGCTGCTGGCCGGCGTGTGAAAGTTGTACTGTGGGGCCAGCACCGCTGCCGCCACCACCTGCCACCGCTGCTGCGCCCACTATCGGTGAGAGTAAGAGTTCTGCTGCGGCGGCGGCTGCTGCAGCCGCTGCTGCCACTGCGTTGCCATTGCCGCCCGCGCCGACGCCGTTATTGGCAACTGCTGCGGCACTCAGCGAGCTGAGCGACTGATGCAATCGACTGCTGGGGCTGCTGCCCGCCACGCCGCCGCCCACTGCACTGCTGTGGTGGAAATACGAGTGGTGGTTCTTCTGCCGGCGGTGGTAGATGCTCTTGTGATTGTTGAGGCTGTTCAGCGTACGAAACACTTTGTGGCACAGATTGCAGACGGCGTTGTTGAGTGGCTGGAGGTGTTGTTGCTCCTTGTGCCGCTTCAGCGTCAGCTTGGTGCTGAGCAGTTTGCCGCACACGTCACATCGGTGGCAGGCGTTCAGTGGCAACGGCAACAGCAGCCGGCTGCTACCGCCAACCATGTCACCACCGCGCGTCGAGGAGAGTATGCCAGCTGCGGAGCCGGCCGAGCCGCGGCCGGTGGGCGATGGCGACAGCGAGGAGCGTCGGTGGTGCAACAGGTGGTGATGGTCCATGGGCGAGCCGGTGCGCGACATGTGATGGTGGTGGTGGGCGGCAGACACAGCCAGATCGTGATGGGCGTGTAGGTGGTGGGATGGCAACATGCCGAGCGACAATTGTTGGTGGCCGAAATGTGGATGTTGGTGGGTGTGATGCGGCGACGGTGGTTTCATGTGTTGCGGCGGCGGTAGTGGCGGTGGTGTGGACGCAATCACAGAAGATGGCGACGAAGCGGTCGAGTGATGGGCGTGTATGTGGTGCGATTGTTCGCTGGCGGGACGCTTTGGCATGCGGTGTTCGGGCGAGTGCGGGCTGCAGGCGGTGGTCGTCAAACGGTCCGGGTCGCGTTCGTTGCGCAAGTGGTGGGCGAACAATTGTTGTTGCTGCTGATGATGATGCTGTTGCTGTTGCTGTTGGTGATGCGGCGAGGATGATTGCTGCTGTTGGTGGTGGTGATGATGGAGGTGTTGGTGTTGTTGTTGTTGCTGCTGCTGTTGATGATGGCTATGGAACTGGTGAGTTATGCTGGTAGCAGTGCCTGTGGCTGTGGTGTTGTTGGTGGTGGTGGTGGTGTTGGTGGTGGTGGTGGAGGAATGGTGGAGTTGTTCATGTTGAAGTTTTTGGTTGCTACTACTACTTGCATTAGGACTGACGCCGCCAAGCAGGTTGGTACTTCCACCTATATGACATATAGGAAGAGAAGAAAAAAAGAGACAATAGTGACTTTGTTTGCTTGCTAACATTTTTCTAACATTGTTTTTGTTTTTAGTTATTTGCTTGTATTTAATTTTGTTTCTTGTTTTGTTTTGTTTTTTTTTTTGGTTTTCTTGGGTTTAGTATTTCTGTTTTGTTTTGTTTTCTTTTGCTTAGTTGGTTTGCTCGTTTTTGGTTTTATGTATGTAGGTGTGTCCGTGTACTCAACGTCCATGTGACAGTGTGTTCGTTATGTTTGTAGTGCTCTACATATGTATGTCACTCGGTGTACAACAGTTCGGTTTTTTTTTTTTGTTTGAGAACAAATCTCGTGCGTGTCGCGTGAGTGTGTTTTCGGGTTTTTTTGTTTTGTTTTTTGTGTTTAAATGTCTTTGTACACTAACAAATCCAGGCTCAAAAATGTATCATTAGAATTTTGTAATAAATCAATTTCGATATGAGAAATGCGAACCAAATGTTCAAACGTTTAACTGTTCTGTTGCTGTTGTTCTTGTTGTTGAAAAATTCTCTTACTTCTTACTTTACTTCTGTATCAACAAGCCAAATAATTTGTTATGGCAGTAAATCGTTGGTCTTCTTCTTCGATATTGGAGTTAAGGCTTAGAAGTGGTTAGAATATATTCGGGGATCGGGTTCTGCATTTCGTTTCAAACTCATACACATACAAACGCAAAGCATGATGAGAAGAAAACGTTGTGGTGGCAATATGATAGGTATCTGGTACGCCAATTGGAGTACCAGTCGCCTTTCCATTGCTCGCGACAGCGCTCTCTCCTCTCCTCGCTCTCGTGGCATAAGCTAGCGGAGGACTGCGCGTCCCAATGTCATTGGAACCAATTGCTATAACTGTTGCTTATCCGTTTGCGACCGAGCGTGAGTTACGTTGCGCGGCTAAATTTTGTAGCCACGATTGTTGGAATTTCGAAACAAAAACGTAAGATAAACAAAACATGCTTTGTGCTCCAGTACGGGATTTCAACGAGATTTTCGTTTTTATAAGCGCGATTTGCGAAAAAAAATTCATTAATTTTTTCTGTTATTTTTTTTATAAAATTTTTCTGCGTTGCCTTTTTGGCGAAAACTTTCGAATTGTTTTATTGTAATTTTGAAACATTTTTGGCCTGATTGATTTGTAGTTTATGTTTTGATTTAATTTCTTTATACCTTTTT